GCACTCAGGGTCCTTCTGACCTGTCGACGGGCACTTCTGAATTCATCCACAAGAGATCTCTAGTATCGCGGGGAATCAGTGGCACCGGAGGGGTTGACGATGAGAGAGACAGCCAGGGCAAATGGCAGGAAGTCTGTCTCTCTTTCTCTATCGACCGCATATCGATACAAACGACGATAACAATGCGGGGACAAATAACGCGTGCGACCCATTAGGTCCGAAGTGGGTCCTTGCGATATTTCAAATCGACGTGACTTCCGGAATCGTCGATGACGAAATGCAGGCAGAAGGAAGAAACTTCACGAAGAGAGCAGGTGGGCCCCGGCCATTTACATCGGACGCCCCTGGAGGAGCGATTCAAAGTCGGGTATTCCTTATTGAGAAATGTGAACGGCAGAGGGCGAAACGGGTGACGTGAACCAAAGTGAACTTGACTTAATGAATTTGCCCTCGTGACGATTACGATGGAGGGTGAATGGAAAGAAAATAAATAAAATCGTTCATCCCCCATATATCGCCAACGACCTCCACACCCGCTGCTATTTCGCACTATACCCGTATCGATTTCTCGCGGCAAAGTCAAAAACGCTGGAATCCCTCCGCGTCTGTCGGTTCTGATTTTTCTTTATTTTTATCGGAAATCCCCAGTGAGTGGCAGGGGTGGGCGGGCGCCTTTGGCACACAAGCCGCGGCTCACACTGACAGCGGCAAAAAGCACTGCCGACAGTGACTCTGAAGATGATAGAAGGTGCTGCTAGGATTAACGAGTCGAAATTGAGGCCCGCGAGAGAGAGAGAGAGAGAGAGAGATTCGTTCCACATCCCCAGCTGACAGAATGATCGATGCAATGACTCGACCCGAAGGTATGAAACTGCAACGAGGGCGAATTGCCACGGTCAGGGTTGATTAATTGACACGTGCAATTAACAAACCCAAACATGAATTCGTACCTGATAAAAAAAAAAAAAAAAAATAACACAGTCCCACTTTCGCCTTACGAACGTAATCAGAGGCCATGCGTGTCCTCGCGTGTGGACACACGGGAACGATTCTCGGGAAAAAAAAAAAAGGACGCGCGTTCCACACGCGAAACGATTATAAGGATAGTCTTTAAGCTCGGGAAAATTAAAAAAAAAAAAAAAAAAAAATTTTGCACCATCATAGCGCACGCGAAGGGATCTACCGTCGGTATCGATATACTCAGCCATCGTTTACCTTATGCAAAGCGATCGCGTGATCCAATTTAAATAATTTGAATAACTTAACGGGAACCGACTCTAGGAAGCCAGCCGGAAAGTGTCTGCATCTCGCTGAAGATTGCCACTAGGTACTTCGCGTACCGATACAGACCCTGCGAATGGCGCCTGAGCCTGACGATTGAATTAATGGTACGTTAAAAGTTCAAGGCCGAAAAACAGCATACGCTTATACAACGAGAGAGAGAGAGAGAGAGAGAGAGAGAGAGAGAGAGAGAGAGAGAGGAACGTACGAATACACGAAGAGACATAGGAGTACCTACGAAGCACGAGAGAGACAGAGAGCGTAAAGTATAAAAAGAGCGAAGGCTAAAGCCCCATCCTAACGACTCTTTATTGATTTTCTCACTTTTATAATAAAAAAAAAATAAAAAAATTTTAAAAAAATTTAAAAAAAAAAGGAATACCCACATATGAATACGGTCGCTACTTATATTTTGTATTCCGCCGAGGCGTCTATCTAGCTTCCGCAACCTACTTCCTTTCACGGCACCGGAGGGCTGCGAGGGAGGGTTAGACAGAGCGGCGAATAAAGCGCCTGGAAATCTCAGGGACGTCCTGGGACGTCGCCTTTCGGAGGGGTCGAAAATAAAAAAAAAAAAAAATAATAAAAAAAGAAAATAAAAATAAAAAAAATAAATACGTCCCAGGGGATTTTTGACCGACGTCGCGCGACGTCACGTTTCTTCGTGCGTGTATTTTTTTTTTTTTTTTTTTTTTTTTTTCCCC